CGAACCCGATGTTCGATCCCCCAGGCGATCCCCCCCTACGCCTATCCCCGCCTATCGTTGCTCGTTTCCCCCTGCTGGCGGGCGCGGCCTCGTCGTCCCCGGGCGACTCGAGCGGCCGCAGCTGCGAGGCGTCGGGGTCGGCCAGCGCCACTGCCCGGGGCACCGCGGCCCTGCGGGCCGCGGCCTCGCCACCGGGGGGGTGGGGGAGACAGCTTCGCATCGGGAGCTCAGACCAGCCTGTGAGAGGATGGAGGAGGAGGAGGAGGAGGAGGAGGAGGAGGAGGAGGAGGAGGAGAGGAGGGAGGAGGAGGAGAGGAGGAGGGAGGAGGAGGAGGAGGAGGAGGAGGAGAGGGGAGGGGAGGGAGGAGGAGGAGGGAGGAGGAGGGAGGAGGATGGAGGAGGAGAAGGAGGAGGACGAGGAGGAGGAGGAGGCGGAGGCGGAGGAGGAGGCGGATCGCTAACCTGTCCTGTGCGATCCCCCCTTTTCGTCCGACCCGAACCTCGGCACCTCTCGCCGATGCGGGCGGCGCTCCTCGTACCGGACAGGGGGTCCCAGGAGTCCCCTGGATGCCCTAGGAGGTCCCAAGAGGCTTTAGGAAGTCCCAGCAGGTCCCAGGGGGGAGAGGTCCCAGGGAGCCTCAGGAGATCTCAGGATGCCTTAAGAGGTCCAAGGTTTTTTTGACCTCCACGGGCCCACCGCATAGTGCAAGCAACTGGCAAGGCGGGACCTGCCAGCTCTGAGAAGACCTCGCCTCGGCGAGAGCCGCTATGGGGAGGGGGCTTCGCGAGTTCCTTTCGGAGCGCCCACTATGGCCCCCTCCCCGCACGGATCGACCCTCGGCTCGGGCTCTCACTGTCTGGCAGACACGCCAGAGACAGTGCACAAGAAAAAACAACTCGCCACACAAGTAACCATACCTGCCATTAGTGGCGAATGACAAGTGAAAAACAGGCACCAGCTGACCCTCAGCTGGAAAAACGATCGGCAACGCGGAGAGCATCCTGAGCGGACAGGCGGTCGCCGCTTAGATCGCGAAGCCGCAACCTATGCCACAACAGCCTGAAGGCCAAGGAGGCAAAGCACGGCCGAGGATAAGATTGAGAACAGAAACAAAATAAGAGGGGGTGGCTGCGACGGCAACCACACGAACAAGAAAACGGGGAAGTCCCAGGAGGCCCCAGGAGGTCCCAGGAGGCCCCAGGATGCCAGGAGGCCGTGTCCAGGAGAAGCCTCTGCTCGTTGGCACGGGTTGGGCGGGCCCCAAGAAGATCGACTGACGTTCAAAGACCTTGAGCCTCCTCTTCGGAGTCTGACCGACAACGGCTACCCAGGGCCCTCCGACGGCCCTCCCTGGCCTGCCTTTCGCCCTGGATCCGATCCTCGGCGGCCCCGTCGCCCGAGACAGCCCGCCAGTGGGCCAAGATCGATGATGAACCGCCGGCGCGCGTTTTCCCGAAACGCTTGGAGTCGGCTGTTGCCTGGTCACCTTTTCACGTCTGGCTGCGATGACCTCTTATGCTCTGCCTGGCCGGAACTACCGACCAGCTCAGTGTGTGCCATGATCCATGGGCGCGGTGAACGCTGCAGAGCCTCAATCTGATACGTGGCCCGAGACAGGCTCCCAGGGGCCAAACTCGAGGGAAAACCTCTGGCGCAGAATCCGCCGACCCCTTGTGGGTCCCTAGGCGCGTGAGATTCTTCCCCCCCCTGAAAGCCCTCCCTGGGACCCCAAACCGGTAATTCGACCCCCCCCCGCCCCCTGCGCACGGCACGACCTACCGCCGAACGCGCCATGGGGGAACAGAGGACCCAAAACGAGCCAAGAGGGCACCACAACGCTTCCCTGACCGTCCAAGAGGGCGACGAGTCGCCGAAAGATCCTTCCAAGACGCCCACGACGGCTTCCAGACAGCCTCCGAAGACCCCACGACGACCGAAGAGGCCCCCAAGAGGCGTCCTAACCGAGCCCCAAGAAGCAGACATCGTCCCATTCCCATTGTAGAACATTCATTTTCACCATATTGGCCTACTCTTGCGGTTTCGCAACGTCGGACACGGGCCATGAAACCTTCCATATCCTCCCAGGACGGCCTCGGCAACTGCCGAGAGAGTCCAAGAGGGCCCAAAGACGGCCCACCAGGAGGGCCTCCAGACGGCGCCAAGAGGAAGCCTGGAGGGCAACTTTTTGGTCCTTTGGCTCCGAGATGCCCTCATCCTACTGCAATGACCTCCCAAGAGGGCCTCAGGGAGCCCCAAGCGAGGCCCAAAAGGCTCCCAACAGGCCCCCAGACAACCCCCAAGGGGCCCATACACTACCTCCAAGACTCCCACGTGACGCCTCAAGACCAGATCGTGACTCCTCCTCCTCCTCCTCCTCCTCCTCTTGTTTGACTCCCCTTTCGCCTCTCCCCCATCTTTCCCCTGTTCCTCCTCCTCCTCCTCCTCCTTATACTCTGCTTTCACCGTCTTTGCGTTCCTCTTTGCATCGGCTTCGTCCTCTCTCTCGCTCGCACCCCCGCTGCTCCTACTTCTACGGGCCATGGCACGGGCGCCCTACTGGTATCATTCGCATGCCTTGCATTTCAAGGTGCCCTTCTTCTCGTCACGCGCGACATGGCTCGCGTACGCGGAGAAAGCCAACTTCGGCACTTTCCTCTGGCATTTGCCACTGCACTGAGAGGCCTGCCAACTGCGCGACGTGAACCATCCCAACACCGAAAAGCACCGTCAAAACCTTGAACTCAGTTAAGGGGTCGGCGGAGGTGGCGTACAGTAAGCCTATAGAGTTTTCCAACCTCGATTCCCGGGTGCCCAGAAGAAGGGGTCCAGGAGGAGGGGGGATAGCGCATCGTGGCCCGAGTCACGTGGGCGGGCGAGGGGGGGCGCCATGGGGCCACGGGGACGCGTTGGAAACAGAGCGGGGGCCATGAAGACTGGGAGATATCATGGCCTCGGCCGTGACTGCCCCCCCCCCTCACCCCCCACGCCACCTGGTCCTCACTCCTCTCCTCCGACGTCCCCTCGATCGTTCAGGACATGCCTGGGGGTCGATGCTCGAGGATGGAGGAGGATGGAGGAAGATGAGGACGAGGAGGAGGAGAAGGAGGGAACGGAAGAGGAGAAGGAGGATGAGGAGGGTGGCCTCCTGGATGGCTCGAGTCACGCGAGGCAGACCAGCCACCAGCTCCAAGCTCCAATCTCGAAGGAGGACGAGGAAATGATGACGACGACGACCAGGGAGGAAGATGAGTAGGAGAATGGACGAGGGAAGTGGCGAAGGGTATTCGCCTTGATGTGGCTGAAGCTGACCAGTGTCCGATATCAGATCATTGCTCACCACATCGCCTCGAGCTAAGGGCCGTCGCCCTCCTCCGCCCGCGGCCCGAGAAGGGGGGCCCCACGGCACAACCTCGAGGACTCCCCCGCAGCTCAGTCAATCCCCCGTCCACTGCCGCAGGCTGGTAACGAGGAATGGGCCGCTGTACAGGAGGATCACGAGCCTCCTCCGTCGTGCAGGCGGAGTCGTATACACGATGAGCAACAACGAGGACGAAGACGAAGACGAAGACGACGACGACGGCGACGACGACGATTACGACGACGACGAGGGAGGACGCGGGGAATGCGGGAGGGCGGGGGAATGGTGGAGGATGGAGGAGGACCAAGAGAAGGATTCTGCAACGGCAAGTGAGCACCTCTGGTCGGGCGTGGCGAGCATCACCTGCACGAAAGACCACCATGCAGAACACGAGGACCACGAGGACAACACCGCAGAACACGCCTTCGTCAACGTCGACTACTAAGGGTACTGCACGAGTCCCATCTCGATAACCACGTAAAAGCACAACAAGCGAGCCCGTGGTAGCACTACTTCATATGAAGTAGTGCTACCACGAAGCCAACAAATAGTTTACGTGGGGCATACGACAAATAAAAAGACATCCAAACCGATCGCCACCGAACACGACCAATGCATACAGCTGCGCAACACCAGGTAGCAGCCGTGGAGAAACCGGCGCTGCTAAGCACTGGACGTGAAAACTGACCCCAAGACCTATACTTTACATTGCGGTGGTCTGGACGCAGAGATATGTAACACCTTCATGGAGAGTGATGCGGCAAAGTCTGTGGACATCACGCAAACTGTAGAGGTGAAACACATGCCTAAATGCCTGCGCCGCCGCCCCAGCCTCCAATGCCGCAAGTCCCCCCAAAGGGAATCCTGTACGCACTTCGGCTATAGCCACGGAAAGCACACGGAAAGAGCCGCATGCTAGACCGCCAACGAAGACGAGAATGGACACGCACGCCCGGCCGCCCTCTTCTTCGCGGCAACATCGTCGGAATCGTCGCCATCGACTTCGTCTTCTTCGGCATGGGCGATGTCGTCATCGGTGGTATCAACGTCGCCGTCGTTGGAATCAACGCCGCCGTCGTCGTCTCGTCGTCAGCATCGACGTCGCCGTTGGCTTGTCGTCGGCGTCCTCGTCCTCGTCCAATGGCGAGGCCCCTTAGCATCCCCCAAAGTTTACTGGTGAGGAGCAGCTTGAAGAAGAAGCCCACCACCAGCGCTCGAGTCAGCACGCGTGTGGTGCACAGCCCCGTGGGCACCATGGCACAGGCAGCGAGCATGCTGGAGCCGAAGCTGGAGACTGAGCCGAGATGGTACTTGAGGGAGCAGGAGGAGGAAGGAGCTGGATGAGGATGAGAATGAGGATGAGGATGTGGGTGAGGATGAGGATGAGGATGAGGATGAGGATGAGGATGAGGATGTTGTTGTTGTTGATGATGATGATGATGATAATGATGATGATGATGATGATGATGATGATGATGATGATGATGATGATGATGATGATGATGATGATGGTAATGGTGATGGTGATGGTGATGGTGATGGTGATGGTGATGATGATGATGATGATGATGATGATGATGATGATGATGATGATGATATTCATGTTGATGATGATGGTGATGATGGTGATGATGCTGATGCTGGTGATGCTGATGATGGTTGATGATGAAGGAGGTGGAGGAGGAGGAGGAGGAGGAGGAGGACGGAGGAGGATGGAGGACGGAGGAAGGAGGAAGGAGTAGGAGGATAGAGGATGTTGGAGGGATGGATGAGGGGGGGGGAGGAGGCGGCTGGAGGAGGAGGAGGAGGAGGAAGAGGAGGAGGAGGAGGAGGAGGAGGAGGAGGAGGAGGAGGAGGAGGAGGAGAGGAGGAGGAGGAGGAGGAGGAGGAGAGGAGGAGGAGGATGGAGGGAGGAGGAGGGAGGAGGAGGAGGAGGAGGAGGAGGAGGAGGAGGAGGCGCAGGATGAGGCGGAGGTGGCTGCAGGCGGAGGTGGCTGGAGGAGGCGGAGGAGGACGCTGGAGGACGACGACGACGCGCCCCGCCAGGCCTCGGTTGCCGCGGCGGAGGCCGCTCCCCTCGCCGCCTTCGGCCCGCCGCGGCCGGCGCCGGCGCGCTGCTCGCCTGCGTCGTACAGGCGCCTCTGGGCGTGTTCGAGGGCCCCGTATTCACAGTGCATTGGATCTCTAGAGATGGGGGCAGGGAGGAGGGAGGGGGGGGGAGGGCACGCTAGGTGCGCTCGCGCCATATCCGACAGCCTGCCCTCCCACCCATGCCTCCCTGTTTGCGCTGATCTCCTCCATCCGCCGACGGGTTTCAGAGCGGACCTGGAACCCGTCGGCGGCGAGCGAGGGGGGAAATAGATCTTCAGAAGGCGGCGGGGCTTCTCAGAAGCCCTCCGGCCTTCTAAGACATTGCCTGTGTCTTCGGGGAATGCTTAGGAAACTTCTCAAAAGGCCGGGGGACTTCCGAGCCTTCTGAGAAGGCCTTGTCCTTCCCACTTCCCCCACGGGCGAGCCGCCGATCCTCCTCCTCCGAGCTTCGGACTACGGACCTCTGGTTTCCTTGACGGAAGCGGCCCTCGAACACGTTCCACCGAGAAGCGCCGAGGACTGAATGATCCAGGGGGAGGAAAGAGGGAAGGCTGTCTGTGGCGGTTGGCGTGCGCGTGCAGATTGCGACCGAGCGTCGTACAGTCGCCTCTGGGGGATGGGTGTTCGAGGGGTTTATCTCCTCCTCCTCTTCCTCCTCCTCCCTTTTCTTTTCCTCCTCCTCCTCGAAGCTGCGGACATGCTCCTCCTCCTCCTCCTCCTCCTCCTCTTTTTCTTTTCCTCCTCCTCGAGGGGTTTATCTCCTCCTCCTCCTCCTTGTTCTTTTCCTCCTCCTCGAAGCTGCGGACAGGCTCGCGCGGGCGCGCCGATGTCCTCGAGCGCGCCTCTCCTCCTCCTCCTCCTCCTCCTCCTCCTCCTCCTCCTCCTCCTCCTCCTCCTCCTCCTCCTCTCCCCATCAACCAGAGCCTCATAGGGGGTGGGGGTCGGCGACTCTCAAGGGCGTGGTTTGCAAAGGGTGTGGTTTACAACCGGCACCCGGAGGGTCACCCTGGGGGGGGGGGCGGGCGGGGACCTCGATCGAGTTCTCCGCCGCGCCCCGAGGAGGCCCAACGAGGACAGTGCCGTGCCCCCCAGGCCCCAACGGCGCCGACCGCAGACCACACCCCGGCGTAACCATGCCCTTTGCAGTCGCCGAGGGGGCGAGGCGCGCGAAGCTCAGACTCCCCTCCTCTGTCGAGCACCGAGGGGGAGAGCGGACAAAAAGGCTCCTGTTGGGTAAGCCAGGGGAGGTCGGAGGGGAAAGGGGGGAGCGACCGCACGGCGGGATCGACTCGGAGGCGTTCAGGAGGGAAGGGCTGGGGGGCAGTGAGCCTCGCGGCGGTGGTGCCTCGTCGGCACCCTGGTCTCGCGCCTGGCTGCTCGTGACTTCTCCTCTTCCCCCTTCTCTCCCTCCTTTCCTGAGGCTCCAGGTCTGCTATTCGGCGGCGAGCGGGGGGCAGTGAGAGTGGGCGGGCCGTTTCCGAAGGCTCGGAAGCCCCCTGGCCTTCTGAGAACTTGTCCAAGCCTTCCCCGAAGACACAGAAAACTTCTCAGAAGGACGGGGGGCTTCTGAGAAGCCCCGCCGCCTTCTGAGGAGGCCTCCTCCTTCTCACTTCCCCCCCCTCGCTCGCCGCCGACGGGTTCCAGGTCCGCTCTGAAACCCGTCGGCGGACGGAGGAGATCAGCGCAAACAGAGAGGCATGGGTGGGAGGGGCAGGCTGTCGGATATGGCGCGAGCGCACCTAGCGTGCCCTCCCCCCCCCTCCGTCCTCCCTCCTCCCTGCCCCCATCCCCAGAGATCCAATGTACTGTGAATGCGGGGTCCCTGGAAGTCCCGACCCTTTCCGCAAGGCCAGCGGTTCATCCTGAGTGTTTTTGTCGACGGGGGCCAGGCGAGGATCCTCAGAGGCCGACAAGTACACATCCAGACGTGTTTTTTCTAGCATGCCGCGAGGAGGTCACGGCCAACCCTCCCTCTTCCCGCCTCCCTCCCCCCCGTCCCTCTGTCCCTTCTCCCGGAGAGTACGGGGCGGGGTTGCAGGGGGGGGGCGAGGGACGGAGAGGAGCAAGGAGGGGGAGGAGGAGCACGGGCAGGCGGAGGAGGAGGGAGGGTGATGACGACTAGTAGACCTGGGGAGGAGGAGGCTGAAGGATCTGCCACTATCCGCGGGCCCCGCCCCCACCACTCGAACAGCGTGCGCGATGCCGCCAGGGCCCCGCCTGACGCGGTCCCCGGAGACGGACCTGAAGCGCGACGCGTCCCTCTCGTGCTGCACGTACACCTCCCCGCGGTGAGTGCCTCGAGGGACGACGACGACGACAAATCCGCGGATAAAGTAAAACAGGCGCCATAGGAAGGGATGGGTGGGAGGGGTAGGATGCCAGATACGGCGCGATCGCACCTGGCATGTCCTCCTCCTCCTCCTCCTCCTCTTCCCCCACCTCCTCTTCTCCCTCCTCCCCCCTCAAACATCGATCCCTCGACCTGTCCTGGGGCGCTTCCTGGCCAAGGTTTTTAAGCGAACCCAGCCGTGGCAACCAAAAAATCCCGGATGCTTACGCAACCATCCTCGGCCCTCGACCCCGGGACTAACATCCGCCCACAAAACGTTTCTGGGCCCCTCCCGAACTCCGTGCCCGCTTGTTTTTGGCCGCGTCCGGTCGTGGCGACAGGAACCTCGCGAAATGTCCAGACATATCAAGGTGAACGACGGCGTCGACGACCTCGGATCCTCGATCCTAGAACCTCCTCCTTCGAACGTTGAACTGCGGACCTCTAGTTCCCTGGACGGACGTTGCCCTTGGAACCTCCTCCTCCTCCACTACCTATACGACCACCCTTTGGGTGATAAGGAAGTTGCGGGGGAAGAAGCAGCGTCTTACTTAATCGACCTCTATCGTTCGCACTATCGATCTCACTATCGATCCCGTGATCGTTGTCGCTAATGATATCACTCGCGATGCTACTTCTTATGTGATGGCTTGGCTGTTCATTGAACTCCATATTATCGGCCTCAATGTCAACCGATCCCAATACCTTTGTACCGATCTCACTATCGACGTCGCGATCGATGTCACCATGATTCTCACTACCAGTTGGTCTCGCGATCCGTCGTCGATTGTACAATCTACTGATCGATTTCACCATCACTCGATCCCACACCTATATATATTGGTCTTTACACCCACGCCAGAGGTGGCATTTGTTTGCCCGCAGCCCCTTGTGGCACGCCAAAGGAACGAAGGCATTCTGTCACACAGCGGCGGGCCAGCTCAGAAGACCAGAGCGGGCCCCAGGCGTGCGTCAAGACGACCTCGCGGCCGCTCGCTCAGAAGACTAGCGCTCGCCCTATCGGGCACGACCAGTGAGCACGGCACGGTACAGCACACGGCCTCAGTATGGATCTCACGATCCATCTCACAATCAATATCGCAATCGACCTCAAGGGACACCACGGGACACAACGCCACGAGACACCACGGGAAACGCGTGGGACACCCTCGGGCCACTGCCAGCTACCAGGGGGGGTAGAGTCGTTGGACTCAGTTGCGCCCTCGCAACGGCGGGCTTCTTCTTCCCGCCCGCCCACGCAGCTTCGCCTCACCCGCGCACGAAGCCGACACCGATTTCCCAGTGGGGGTCTCCGTATCACTTCGAACTCACCCCCCGACCTGCGATCTTCCCTTGCCTTCCTCACTCCTGCTCCCTCCTCCCACGGCGTCAGCGGCGCCCGCCCTTACACGGCGGGCTCCGGAAACCCTGAACCCAACAACTTTGTCATCTCGTTGGGGCGCATATTTCTCTTCCGCCGCTCTCCGCCGGCCTGATTTTTTTGTCGCAGCGCTGCCGCCGATGCGCCTTCAGGACGGGCGCCAGCGGAGGCCGCCTCGTCTAACTTCCTTTTACCGACGCAACACCCTATAAGTGTCAATTTGGATGTCTTGCGAGGGGCCACACTAAAGGTCCACCGATAAAGGGCGCACGATATGGCTATTCACATCGAGAGTGAGGGCCCAAGCCGGGAGCTGCGCAAGGGGGCCCCTTAGTTCCACCCCTGCGCGCCCCCGCCTCTGCGGAGGCGGCACTGCAGAAGAGGCGCCCCGAGCCCCCTCTGGGGTGGGGCGGCCATCAGCGAGGCCGAGATCAGCAACTAGCACGCGCAAATTGAAGACGCCCGCGCTTGCGGGGGAGAGGGGGGACAAGGACGGGGCAGGCTGGAGGCGCACCCTCCCAGGGCAGTAGGCCCCGAGAGGTCATTGCGAACTGTCTGTGTCTTTCCCTACCATCACAGGTACGTAGCGGAAGATGCCGTGAGCCAGCTCTCTCCCGAGGCGCACAACATGTTGCAATGTAAAGCCTACTCAACATCCTGAGCTCATCCGAGAACGGGGAAGAATAGGTACGTGGAAGGTGACGTGCATGACAAAACTCCCAAGAAGCACGGCGTAGACAGTGGCGCGCATGTTGACTGAATCCACGTCCCTGGCGAAGCAACGACGGCAACTGAGGAGCACAACGGCCCCAAAGACGGTCCGCACGTAGCACACGACAAGGGCCTAACGCCTCCCATGAACCCTTGCTCCTTCCATAAGTACGAGATCCGTTTGTTCGCAGCATTTGGAAGTCCAGACCAGTCGGGCAGCTGGTCAGCGCTCGCCTTACCGACGCAGAAGGACGCGGAGGAGTGCACCACACCATCGTCGCAGCCAGAGGGCCCAAACGTATACTCGACCAACAAGTTCGCTCTGTTGGTGCGGCATCGAAGGCGTGGCTGTCCCCAGCGTCAAAGACGTTGATGGCCACAGAAGCGACGACGAAAGTGTCCACGGCCGTAGGCGAAGACGTGGTTGCCCTCGATGGTCGCAACGTCATACAAGTTCTCGTACTGGGCGGCCGAGGTGCTTCTGGAAGCCGTGGCAGCATTGACATACAGTGCACAGGAGCCATTGCGCGCGGTCGGGCTGGGAATTGCGACCAGCTCGGAAAGGGAACGGCGTTCGTAATATTTGAGCCGACAAGGCTTCGTCTAACTTCCGCCGCCTTCCGCCGAGGGAGACATGGCAATCCAACGGCCCTCGCACACGAAGCCTTTTTATGGAACGCCCCCCACATGGATCGAGCACGCCTAGAGCAAAGCCCGCGGCGAACAAGACCTTATTCCTCGTCCTCGGCCTCTTTAAAAGGGGCCCAAGACACAAATAAATATACAAACATCCCAAGATTCCCTTAAACATTTCAATATTTTCTGGGTTCTCGTCTCCCCCTCCACTTCCCATATTTTACAATATTTTCTTGGGAGTCGACGACCGTAGCACCCCGCAAATGCGGATAAGAGTGAGGGGGCGGTGGGGACGTCGGCAATTTGCGAGACTCTGGAGAAGCCAGCCGCAGGCGCCAAAGTTTCACGAATTATACAACGAACCCGCCGCAAGCGCCGATTTTTTCGTTAAGGCAATGTGGGTTTGGTAGCGGGTGGGTCGCTGTTGGGTCGCGGGTGGGTCGCTGTTGGGTCGATGGTGGGTCGCTGTTGGGTCGCGGGTGTAGAGGGCAGAAAATCAACCCCATAAGAATCACCCCGACAAGCGAAGCCGTTTAGTAAACGCAGACAAGGAATGAATCGAACAGGGCAGGACTGTTTAATTCATAAACGCCCACGGCCGTTTGCTAAACGTCAATTGTCGGGTCCTGGTGTTTCTTCCTCCCTTGAGGGTGGGTCGCGGGTGGGTCGCGGGGTGGATCGCGGATAGGTCGCGGATGGGTCGCGGATGGGTCGCGGGGTGGGTCGCGGGTGGGTCGCGGGGTGGGTCGCGGGTGGGTCGCGGGTTGGGTCGCGGGTGATCCGCGGGTTGGGTCGCGGGTGGGTCGCGGGGTGGGTCGCGGGGTGGGTCGCGCGGTGGGTCGCGGGGTGGGTCGCGGGGTGGGTTGCGGGTGGGTCGCGGATGGGACGACGACAACGAACAACAACAGCAGCAACAACAACAACGCAACAAGCAGAATTCTCACCACGAATTTTGTATTCAGCCACGCACCCATGGACAATGAATGACCGTTCGGCCCCCTCACTCTGATTAACTGTGTCTGTGTGTTTCCTTCTCTCCAGACTCTTCGGCGGGCCCGGGCCCCCTCCCGCCCAGGGAGCTCGTGGGCTCGGGACCGTGGAGAGGGTGGGGGGGCGGGGCCCTGGCGTCCTCGCGCCGACACGAACCAGCGCACGGGGGTGGGGAGTCCACTAAGGACGTACGCGCTCAACCATGTGCACGAACACGGCCTCTAGTCCGCGAGACCAGCCTGGTGATATGGGGCGCACAGGGACATACTACTACCACATGTCCGCCTTGGAGGCGCGCGTCCGACCCGACCATATAGTATACCCATCTTGTAGTATATCGTTTCCCGAGCGGTGTGGCCAGAAAGCGCCCGCCACGACGCATCTACTATAATGTTCCTCTGTGCGCGCGTCGCCCCTGGGGGGGCGACGCACATGGAGTATAAGTATGTTGGGGTGACGCCGATGATACGATTGTTTGTGCAATGCGTACTCTCGAAACCAACGTGGATTCATGTACGACGGCGTTCTTCTTTGGCTCCTGAAGCGGGCGGCCCTTTTTCACGTCCTGGGCCCTGGACAGCCAGGCCTGGCGCCGTCAAGCAGCGATAGTTCAGATGAGTGAGTGCCGAAAAGGCAAGGGTCTTACGCGAGTTGACACAGCGACCTTACGCGGTGGCTTACGCGGGCCGCCAGCACGGCACGCTACATCGGAAACGAAGGGGCGAATGCGCGACCTTACGCGGGCAGCCTGCGCGCCGATGTCGGCGCAGTCGACCCTGTTCTTCTACGTCGCTCAGCTGAGGAGCCAGTTCTCGGGGAGGGGCCCAGACCTCTGGGGAGCCAAGGTGTGCAAAAAAGCTTGACTCCTGATGTCTGAGAGAGGGCGGGAGGTGGATCGGGGGCGTCCACGAGGGAGGCGTCCGCGCAGGGGGTTCGCAAAGCATGGTCGGAGCCACTGTGCGAGGACGAGGGGGGGAGCCAGGGGATGCATTGGAGGAACCAAAGTGTGGCCATGCAATCGGGTCGATCTCATGGTCCTGGCTATGATATCCACCAAATCTCGACCTAAACTGTGTTTCTCGTTTTCGTTTCGTGTACGTTCTCCCCCGTTTCGTCTTCGTCCCGCCATTGCTGCAAAACGATTCCGAAACGAAAACGGTCCACGACATCGCCCAAGCACCGTTCGGGTCGAGCCGCCCTGGATATCCACTTCTGATTTCTCCCTAGTCATCACCCCCTCTTGGCCGCCCCCGATCTTAGGGGAGGCTGGAGGCGGAGACAAGAGCGCACAGAACCGACTCGAGAAGTCGGATCGACGATCCAAATCCATCGGTCCGGCAGGAATCGGCAGCCACATCGGGCAAAGGGGAATCGGCAGACACCGGCAGGCTAGCAGGCCTCCGCTGAAACATCGGAGTCCGAGTCGAGGGATTCCGGTTCAATCGGAGGGCGGAACCGGAAGCCGTCGAGGTCGCGCCGAAGCGCACCAGAGGCATCGAGGCGAGCCCTGCGGAGAGGGGGAGGGCGCCTCTGTGGCGCGGCACGCCGTCGGGGGCGCGCACGCCGACGAGCGCGCCGCCCTGCCCGAGCAGGTCCTCGCGGGGGGCGGGGCGCCCGGCCGTGCCGCGCCCCGCTCCCCCGCCCTGCTCGGCGGTCGAGGGGGCCCGAGAGTCGACGGGCGAGGGGGAGGCGGCGACGGAGGGGGGGGAACCTGCGGGGCCCCTCGCCGCCTCTCGGAGGGTGTTGCCAGAGGGTGCTCCCAGGGAAAGCGTGCGCTCCGTGGCGCCTCCCTCCTCCCCCTCTTCCTCCCCCTCTGCCTCCTCGTCTTCCTCCTCGCCTTCCTCCTCGCCTTCCTCCTCCTCCTCCTCCTCCAACTCTGGCCTCGAGGCGGCGGAAGAGGACGAGGGACGAGGGACGAGGAGGGGTGAGGACGGGGGAGGACCGTGGAGAAGGAGGAGCAGGAGGAAGAGGAAAGCGAGCGGTGGCCTCGCCGCCCGGAAGCGAACGATTCCTCGGCTGCCGGGCACCAGTGGACCAGCTTCGAGGATCGAGGACCTCCTCCTCTCCCGCCCTTGCTCCTCCTCTCCTCTCCTGCCCTGCCTCCCCCTGCCCCTCTCGCAGCGCTCCGCAGCGTTCCCGTCCGCCGCCGCGCCCGCCGCATGCCGCGGGGCGCGCCGGCTTCGCGGTGGCGGGGCCCACGGGCAGCGCCGTGGGTCTTGTCTGGTTTTCCGAGGGGGGGGGGATGGGAGGGAGAGTACAAGCACGGTGGGGGCATTGGATCAAGCAAGCCTCAGCAAAGTGATCAAAGGCCTGGAAACCAGTGGAGAAGTCCAATGGGATATTGGCCATAGACATGACTGCCGCCCTCATCAGATAAGGGAGTCTTCAAGGTCTGACGCCTCCTTGGCACATCCCTTAGCGAACGCCCCCCGCCGTACCATACCTCCTGCTGCCTCCTGCCTCCTGCCTCCTGTCTCCTCCTGCTCCTCGTCCTCCTCCTCCTCCTCCTCCTCCCCCTCCTCGTCCTCGAGCTCGTCCTCGTCGTCGTCGTCGTCGTCCTCCTCCTCCTCCTCCTCGCCTGGTCGTCGAGGGTCGAGGACCCACGGCCCAGGGTCGGGTTCCCTGGGCGCGCCTGGTCCTTTGCTGGGCCCCTGGAGGCGGCCTCCGGGCGGCCGTGGCCTCCCCCCCCTCCAGAATTGGGTTCTGGGAGAGCTGGGGGGGGAGCAGAGAGGTTATCCTCCTCCTCCTCCTCCTCCTCCTCCTCCTCCTCCTCCTCCTCCTCCTCCTCCTCCTCCTTAGAGACTCACATGGGAACAGCGAGGTTAGTGTGACCCGACCTCAACTGATCATAGCACTCCTCACCCAGACGAGGAGGCGGCAAGAGACTGGGACGGATCAAAGGGCCGTACATCGACGGCGACCCACTTGCCACGAAAGAGAACTCGGCCCTTGGCAAGCCCCGCGAGCACCCTCCGCCCCCAAGCGTTGGGCGTTCCTCCTTCTCCTCCTCCGCCCGCTGTCCTCCTCAGAGAGGGTTGTGGGAGAGCCAGAGGGGGTTGGGTTGGTGGGAGGTTTTTCCCCAGGACCCCTCCCTTGAGCAGCTTGTTTGGGAGACTCGAAGGAGATACGGGGTTCCCCCCTCAGGGGAGGTTTTGGTGGGGTTAGGGGGGGGCAAGAGGCCTTTTCCCCCCTACCTCGGCCCGACCGCTAGAGGGTCGAAAGCCCGAAGGGCGTCGGCGTCGCCCGCTTCTCGGCAGTCGTCTGGCCATCCGCACCCGCGCGTGGCGCCCCTAGCGGCCGCGGACGAGGAAGACAGCAAGACGGCGACACTGACTGGACCTCTGGAATTCTGGTCCTCCTCCTCCTCCCCTCCTCCTGCGTCGTCCGTCCTTTTGCTCCTCCCCTTCGGTCACGATCACGCTGTCGGAGGAGGAGCGGGGGGGGGGAGGAGGAGGAGGAGGAGGAGGAGGAGGAGGAGGAGGAGGAGGAGGAGGAGGAGGAGG